ACGCGTACCAGGGCTAGGACCACAAGGTTCCGGCATGAAGTGCACAGGCAGTCACTGGTCTGGGAGGAACTCCTGCATGAGGTCCAACAATTCAAACTAAAATGGAGTCACTCATGCTAAACGTCCAAGACATCAAGCTTACCTGTCTGATCTTCCAAGAAATTAGGATAGTGAGAAAGACAGTAATAGCCAAATCTCCAAATAAGACAGTTTTAGCCAGAATGGTAAGAAGTCTCCGCTGCTTTAACTCTACAAAGAAAGTAACTTTGCAACCCCCACACCACGTTTTGTTCCTGGATGCTCTGTTCCTGCTTTCCTCAGCCCTTTACTGCCTCAAAGCGAACACCTCTGCTCAGCTCATTGGAAGAGCTCATTCCACTTTATACATTGAGGTGTTTTTCAATTCTAGAGCTGCAAATAGAAGCCAATTAAGATCTTTAAATTCAGTATGTTGTGATTTTGTCTTTTGACAGACCAATCTGGTCTGGCATGTGTTTCTGTAAATGAATTTCACTAGCTGGGTATGGTGGCACATGCCAGTAATCCTTCCAGGAGGCTTAACTAGGACTGCAAGTCAGCAAGGCCTTTTTTTTTTTTTTTTTAAGGGAGTGGGGGGAGCCACTGGAAATAAAGCTCAGTGTGAAAGCCCTGGGCTCAGTCAGCCAAATGACTAGAAAGCCCTGGCAGAAGATTAAGGGAAGACATTTCATATCATATAAGGCTAAGATTAAAACAATAGTGGGGTCAATTCCCATAAAGAAAACACAGTTTGCAATCCTAGAACCAAAAAAAACTACAAAATCAAAAGCATTAAACCAGATGAAGGAAGAATCTATATAATTCAACATATAATCAGTCTACAAAGGCTGAGAAAGGTTGTATGTTTTGTTTTGTTTTGTTTTCTTTGGGTGAGAGGAATGAAGAGAGCTCGAGACAATGAAAACTCTATCAAATAGCAAGCTAATAGTTACTAAACTAAAGGGAGAGAGTTTTCAGTGACCACACACAGAAAAAGAATACACAGATTTTTAAAAAGTTTAGAAGTTACTAAAGCAACAAGTAGCAGTAACACCAGGAAACGGAAAAGGTGATTTTCATGTTATAATATTCAAAATATCCAGTTTTTATTAGACAAAGTATCTAAAAAAACAAGAAAAACAAGATAAAGTATCTAAAAATAAGAAATGGCCTTTACCAGGGCTGATCAGATGGATCAGTGGACTGACAACCTGCTCAGGCAACTGCAGGGACCCAGGTTCAATCCCTGGAACCACATGCTGTGTCAGCCCCACCCCAGGGCACAGTGAGCCAGCCACAGCATCCAGGAGTGGTGGCACACACCTGTAATCCCAGCACTGGGGAGGCTAAGACAGGAGAATCACTATGAGTCCGAGCCGCTTAGCAAGACCCTGTAACAAATACATTAAAAAAAAATAAAAAATAAACTGTCCTAAAGGAGCTTAAACATTGAATTTACAAAATAAAGACTTTAAATTAACCACCTGAGACCAGGGAGATAGCTCAGTAGAATAAGCACTTGCCTGGCAAGCGCAAGTGCCTGAGTTCAATCCCTGGTACCACCAAAAAAAAAAAACCCTGAAATATGCTCAGAGTTAAAGGGTATCATGGAAAGAGACCTAAAAGAAGCTAGGAGAGTGATGCACAAAAAATACAAAAGAATAAAAAAATGTTGTAAACTATAAAAAGCAACCAAATACAGTGCTTACAATTTAGTTGCAACCAGAATTGTGGAGCAACTTCTGCAACCAGAATTTTGAAAAGAATTAAGTTCCTGAGCCAAGTTCCTGCCTACCACCATAGACATTATAGACTGAAAAAATGCAATAATTGAAATGAAAGATCCACCAGAGGTATTCAATCGCAAATTTGAGCAAGCAAAGAACAAATCAGCAAACTTGAGAATAAGTCAAAAGAAATTACACCATATGAGAAGAAAAGAGGAGAGGTGAGGGGAGAAGAAAGTTATGGGGAGTGGCAAGGGATTGGGGGGAAAAGAAAAAGGGGAGAGAGCCTAAGGGATCTGTGGGATACTACCATGCCTACCCACTACATAGAATGGGATTCCCAGAAGAGGAGAAAAAATATTTGAAGAAGCCAGACATACGGTGATGTATGCCTCTAATCCCAGCACTCAGAAGGCTAAGACAGGATTCCCACAAGTTCAAAGCCAGCCTGGTCTCCAAAGTGAGTTCAAGGCCTGCCCGAACTACATGTGAGGCTCTGTGTCAAAAAAGAGTATCTGAAGAAACAATTTCCCAATGCTGAGAAAAAACACTAATCTACACTTCTAAGACTCACAATGAAATTCAAGTAGGACAAACTCAGATACCCACAAGTCAGATTAAAATCAAGCTTTTACAAGACATATAACAAAGAATCCTAAATGCAGCTGAAGTGATCTGTCATGAACAAAGGTTACTCACCAAGAGCCACAGGAGGATACACCACAGGGTGTGGATGGTATAGTCTAAATACTACAAGAATTTTACATATAGAAAAATTATTCCAAAATGAGAAAAAAAATTTAAAGACTGATTACACAACAACTCGGACTACACAGTGGTGCCTCAGTTCACAGACTTCGTTCTTTCCGTGATGGTGGTCACAGAACCTGTTCTGTGATTCTGGTGCAACAAACTTGCAAGCATATAAAAGCAATCACAACGGTATTCTGGTTGCACTCAGAATCACAGAATAATTTCTGTGAAATTTAGCATCATGGAAAAAGAAATTCATAAACCAAGGTACCATGGTCTAAAATGTTAAAACACTCTTCAAAACACTCTTAACATGTTGAAGAGCACATCTTTGGTTATGCAAATTTTTCAACAGTTAAATCTTTTTCTATTTAACAGGCGAAATTACGACTGCCAAGACAAACAAAAAGAAGGGAGTGTGCCACTCCTGAGCCTGTTCTACGTGAAGTATTAGAGTCCCTATGGCTGCAATGAAGACACTGTGCGATGACTCAAAGCCATATGAAGAACACTGGTTACACTAACTACACATGTAAATACAAAAGTCAGCACTACCGTACTTTTGATTTGTAACTCCTCCTTTTATTCTTTAAAAGCCACATTCTATAGTGTACATATAGCCTATCACTACATTTTAGAAAAAAATATTAGTACAATGAAAAACTAGAAGGCCCAGATACAATGACTATGGCTGAAACGACTAAATGAGATCTTTAGCACTTTATTCTAACCATCTGATTTGTGTTGCATGTGGAAAACATCTAGAACTAAGCACTAATCCAAGCATATTAGAAAGCAGAGTCTAACAAGAAAGATCACCAGCCAAAAAACAAGACACCTGCTAAAAATTTTCAGTGTTACTAACTTGTCTGAGTCTTCAGTTTGCAATTTATAAAATCAGGAAAACATGATAACTTATAATTTTACATATAAAGAAAGAAAATATATGACATGAAATTCTTCAAATCAAAGTATTGTTATTTTACTACCATCATCTGTATGCATAAGCAATTTCCTTATTTACCTGATGGTGCTGAATGTTTCTTATGTTACATGAAAAGTTCTGGTAGAGTTGAAATTTATCAACATCTTTCTCATTTACTTTCTTTGAGGATACTTTTGCCAGAGATGACTGAATACAAATGTATCTATTTTGGCACCTGCTCAGATACACAAATAGTCAAAACATAAGTAGTTATTAACATATACTGCAGACAGCAAAAAAGCCGTTATCAAACTGTATTTGTTTAATGATGCTCCAATATGGTATCTAAGGAATCAGGCCAATAATACTAGTCTAAATATCATCCGTCTCTAACCACTGAATTAGGCAGTCACAGTCGATTAAAAGCTGAGAAGTCAAACAAAAGGACGTACTAGGATGGCTTCCAATAGCAATTTGTAAATCTGAACCAAATTTCAACAGCATAATTACTAACAAAAACAGTTTTCAACCTGAGCAGTTACCCCACTTCCTCTCACTCCAGCTAGGACCACTGATAATACAGAACAGTGTGTCCCTTGCATTAACAAAAACCTAATAAGAAACAGTGGAGATGTTGGCGAAGGGAGGGGAAATCTAGCAGAAAACTGTCTTCTCTTCCAATAGGTAGCAGAAAAAGAATGACAGAGTACAAAAAAATGTTTTAAAGGGCTTTTTAAAGAGGCATAAATCTATAAGCCCAAAAGACTCTAACAAAGACCTCGCATCAGTCTCTCACATTCAAACTGTGACGCCATGGATAAGCTGCTCTCCCCAGCAGCTGACGCTTGTTTTGAGGCCAGCCCTAGGCACCACACCTGACATCATCATTCTAAATCAACCCAACCACAGGTAAATACCAAGGATGAAATATTATAGACATAAGTCAAGCATACACATTACAATTACCATGTTTAAAAAGCTATGGCACTATTCTAAATGGACATGAGTCTCTCCTTGGGAAAAACTGTGAAAAGCGGTAGTTTGCACACTGTGTTCATCTAGGCCCTCCGCTGAGGAAAGAAGATGAGGAGGCAAAGTTCCAGGCTCCCTGCTCAGAATTCAATTAAAACAACTTTTCTTTTATCTGTTTTATATATTAGGGTTCTGTTTTGTTTGAACAAAGAATTCTGCTACTTAAAAAAAAAAAAATTCTCAGTACAAAGTTTTTAATGAATACTGGTATTAGCACAAACCATGTGACCCTTAACAGCGTGAGTCCACAAAGCAGAAAACTCTATAAAGAGTTACTCACAATTTCCGAATGAAGTCAAGCGTGTCTTTGTCTTTAGCAATCATGTCTGCTAAAATATGCTGCACTCCTGTCTCAATATCCTGGAGTGCAGAAAGCCCTTTAGGAAAAGGGGTGAGACAGAACAGAAATAAGTCTAACATTAGTTTTAAAGTCTATAATTAAATCACATTACATTAAATTCCAGTCAAAATAAAATCTTAAATTGACAAACCACCTAAGATAGAAAGGTATGACAGCAGTAACTTGCTTCCATATGTAACAAGAGCCAGTCTCCACAGCAGTAACACAAGGCCTTTACATAACGTGTTAGTTACAGTGGGGAAAAACGCAGCTTGGAGACAGCTGCTGGTCTACACCAGGTTCCACCAGTAATTTTTAATTACTGGACAACTTACTTGACTTGTCTACCTCAGTGTCCTATAAAAAATAGAATAATACTATCTTCTTCATGAAGTGATTGCAAAGATCAAAAATACATTAATCATATCCCAAACCATACAATTTGTTACCAAAAAAATTCTCCCTCACAAAGAATTATTAATATTTGTATATTGGGAATAAAATATTTATTCATTTTCAATGATCCATTTGAATTCCTTAAGCTTAATCAACACAAAGCAAGAACAATCAATCAGTCAGGTGTTCATTTTCACAATCAGACCAACTAGTTTTCTCCGAGCACTTGTGGTCTGCTGACCCACAGCAGCGAGCCTGATACATCACAGCTTCTACAGCATCCACTTATGCCCTGGCTAAGAGCAATTCATAGCTCTATTTCGTTTCTTTTGTCCTTATTATTTGATTTGTAACAAAGCCTTACTACTGTTGTTTTATATTAAGGCTTGAATTACACAAGCATTGAGACTCATGGATATATTTTTCTATGAGTATAGTTTTAATGAGTAACAGGCACAGAGACAATAGTGGAACAGAATTTTTTGTAGTACAATTAATGAACAGAAAATGCCTTTGGGGGTCTGTATTATGACAGCAAATGCCAACCACTGAAATAACTATTTATCTGAAAGAAATTCAGGGAAGTGTGGTCACTAACATTAATAGAGATTCTATTCACACTTTAAGAGAATTTATCTACAAGGAAATTTTTGGTAACAAGTGACTTGCATAAGGCAGAAAGTTATATGTATAATGGAGAAGACTTAGGACAGCTATGGCACATAGAAGAACTCAATATATAGTTACTCTTACATTAACCACCTCCCTAGATCAATCTTCATCTAAGATATTGCTCTCTATGTGCCAGGTGTGATGGGACACACCTAATCTTGCAGGAAGATCACTGTAAGTTTGAGGCTAGACTAGGCTACAGTTAGTTCAAGAGCAAACTGAAATACATAACGAAGCACCATGTCAGAAAAAGAAAAAAAACTTGTTCTCTATGCAATCAAGCCTAGATCCCCAAAGGACCTCAGAGCATCATTACAAAAAGAATAATAAAAAAACCAAGGTCTAAGTCAGTAAGTAGTAAGTATGGAACATACAATGCAAAGCACTGCTGCAAACAAAGAAAGTCAGGAGGAAACGACGAACTTTCCATTAATGAAGGACTGGTACAAAGCCCTGCCATATGAAAGGAATACAATTTGAGAAGTTTCTATAATTAATGAACCTCATTTAATTCAAATAATATTGAGCTCTAGCACAAAGAATTGCAAAGTATGGTCTGAAGACCTAAAAATAAAATATACTACGTATTTGTTAAAAACACAATGGAGGGCCAGGGAGATAGCTTAGTGGCACAAGCACCCGCCAGAGAAGCATAAGTTCCTGAGTTCGATCCCCCAGTACAAAAAATAAAAAATAAAAATAAATTAATAAACACAATGGAGTATTACTTGGCTATAAAATAGATAAACTCGAGACTTTTATAGGTAAATGGATGCAATTGAAGACCATAATCACAAGTGAAATAAATAAGACCCACGTGTGTAAACATATTGTCTCATAATTGTAACAACCTGAAAGTAAATAAAATCTGAAAGGTATAATAGATACTGTGAAAGTGAAAGAATCTGTTCGAAGGGAAAGAACTGAGATGAGGAAAAGGACAAAAGAAAGAAGGAAAGAAGGAAAAAAGATATGTTTACGTATATATACAGGATAGCTTGGATAATCATACTGCTGATTTCTGATGGTTTATTAAAAGGAGCAGTTGATGCTTAAATTTTTTATTCTCTTTTTTAATTTCTTATACCTTTTATTTTTCTCGCCAATTTTGCATGCTTACACCTGGTAATCTAAACAACGAATTTGACGACAACATTACATAATACAGCAAGCATTACTGAATTCCTATTATTTTGATTAGTGAATTGTATAGTTTCTATTTTTTTTTTGCTATTTTTTATTGATTAAAAAACATAAACATTAAAAAATAAAAATTGTTGAGCCATCCAGATAGCTCAGCAGATTAAAGCGCCTGCGTAGGCAGATGCAGGGACCAGGGTTTGATACCTGGCATGCCGTGCTGGCCCCCATCCCCAGGGTGCACCAAGACAGGGATTGAGACTGGGCATGGAGGAACATGCCTATAATCCCAGCAGTGGGGAGGCTGAAAACAGGAGGATCACTACAAATCTGATCTGTGTGGTGAGACCCTGTACTAAATACATTCTTTTAAAAAAAATTAAATCATAAAATAAAATAAAAAGTGCCTTACTCTTCTCTTGTTGCTGGAACAAAATACCTAACATCCAGAATTAAGGAAGGAAAGGTTTATTTAGCTCACAGTTAGTGGAGTTTTCAGTCCACAGTTGAATGGTTCCAAGGCAGAGTGGTACATGGCAGAGGGCAGCCATTCATGGGTGGAAAATAGCAAAGAACAAAGGGAAGAACAGCAGCTGCAGTTTCTAGCAAGCTTCTCTCCCCTCCTTACATGGTAATGCAGATTATCCACCCCAGGGCAGGGGCAGTACTCATACCCACAATTCCTACATTGGCTCATGAATTAATCACAAACTCTAGAAGCCGCTGACTACATGAGGCTTTGGGGGGACAACTAGATACAAACTATAACAAAAATATATACACATTCTAAGCCAGGTGTGCTGGTACACACCTATAATCCCAGTACTCGAGAAGCAGAGGCAGGAGGATCACAGTGAGTTCAAAGCCAGCCTGGGCCACATAGGAAGACCCTGTCTCAAATATATGTATTTAGATGGCCAGATTGTGGGACTGTATTGTTTGATAGAACATCTGAGGTAACTGTGATACTCAGTAGCTAGGGAGGCAATTTAGCCTGCCTCTAGAGCAGTGGTCTCAGGAAGAGGTAGAAATTATCAGTCAGCTGAGAAGTTCTTTAAAAATCACATATCCCTCTCAGTCCAAGCAGAAAAGAATTGGAAAAGAAATCTTATCCATTTTGAAAAGGCTCCTTCTCTAATCACATAAAATCGGGTGTTGGTATTAGTATAACCAAGGATAACAAGAGTTCCAAAAGTTGAGTATTTCAGTGAAGTCAGGAGAAAATGAGATCCACAGAATGTAAAAATTATATCCCTTCCTCATAATGTATTCTTTCTAACAGCAGACTCTCCAACCCTCCAAACCTGTAAGAAAAAGTTGAACAGAAGGGAAATCCCTCCTCAGTAGCTCGTCCATAGATACTACTCAAGCCTCTGCCAGCAGCTCACTATGAGTCTGATCAGTGTAGCGAGATTGTATAGACCCTGTACTGAATACATTAAAAAAAAAAAAAAAAAAAAGAAATTGAACAGCCAATCTTTTCCCTCCATCTTTACTTTGCTACCTCCTATCTGTAACAGAATAACCTGCCTGCCTGCTACAACCCAAGGACGTGTGATCTCGTCCATCTGTGGCACAGTATAGTTTTTTGATTCAAACTAAAATGTTATTGGTCTGTGGCAAGCAAGAAGTATCTAATAGGGGGCCAGGGCAAAATAGCTGGTCTCTTAAGTATTTCTTGGAGGAATTATGATAATTGTAAAAATGTTTCTTTAGAAAAACAGTAATAGAACAGAAGGTGGCTATGTGCAGGCATGTAGCATAAGGAGATCACAAGAAGAGAAAAACATTTCACATGAACTTTAAAAAGTAGTGCCTATTTGCTTACTTGCAATTAATTATAATTCTTCTACATTTGTGATCAGTATACAAGAAAGGGAATAAAGCAAGCAGAGAGTCCTGTTAGGGCTCCAAATGCTACCATAACTATACTGGGTCCTGAGGTATCTGCATGATCAGAAATATCACCACCTGGTGTTCATCATCACTAATTCCAGGAACATCACCATATGTAACAATCGAAAGAGATGCTTAGTAAAAGCCTACCCAGGGAGCTGGGCACAGTGGTGCCTGCCTGGAATCCCAGCAGTTGGGAGGCTGAAGCAGGACGACTGCCATGAGTTTGAGGCCAACCTGAGCTGCGTAATGAGCGCCGGGCAGCTTACACTACAAATCAAGTCTCTGTCTTAAAAAAAAAAAAAAAAGAAAACCTACCCAGTAAAAACTCTGAATCTGTAAGAACCAAGTAGACCTTTGTGCCAAAGGAGGTGGGAAACAGAAAAAGCCAAAAGGAGAAAACAGGCAATAGAGCTTTGTGTTTGCACCATTCCACAAGCTCCAACATCCACGGGGAGCACAGACAGTTCCTACTGCGGTTAAGCTTCAGGCTTGACTCTTCAGTCTCAGTTCTTATTAAAATGTTAAATGTTGCAACCATTTGAAATCTCATTACAGACACAATACTCTGGTTTCTCTTCAGATTGCATAAATCTTTCACCTTTTCAATAAAAATACACATTTAGAATTAAGCAAATTTTAATTTTATTTATTTCAACCATCTCTAACTTAAAAAAATCCCATTCTGCTTTTTCTTTTCCTTACTATTTTCACAAATATTGAGAGGTATGCTTGTATATGACAGATAATTTTGTCTTACAGATATACACACTCAATTTTCAAATTACAAATTCCAATTTTAAATAGTTTTCTGGATTATGTAAAATCAAAATACATTATGGTATGCATGACTTTCTAGTCAAGTACAACACAGAGATTTTGTTAGGAGAGACTGCCCCCTACAGACATCTGTGCCTCGAAGGTCCAAGAATAAAAAGAAGGCCAAAAGGAATTAGAGCTGGGACAGGGAGATACAGGGCAAAGTTGCAGTTACTGGCAGTTAAGCTGAATAAGCCGAGAAATCTAATCTGTACAGAATGGGGATTACAGCCAATAATATTGCACTGTATACTGAAAATCTGCTAAGAATAGACTTTTTCCACAAAAAAGTTAACTGTGAGATGACTGATATTAATTTGATTATCATGCATAGTTCCATTTAATTACAATAATCATTTTTATGCACTTATACATAAAATAAATATATATCAAAACATCACATGCTCTTTATCTACAAGTCTTCTGAACATAAAAAATAAGTATTTTTCTTAAATGATTCATCTCCCCACTCAAACCTAAAAGCCATTCTGAAGAAAAGGCAGTTATCCAGAAAGTTTGCACTGTAACATTCATTTTGAGGGAAAAAACCCCAATGCATTCTGACGTGAACCGCATCGTCATTTCTCTGGAAGTACTTCTCCCTTCCTCCCTCCTCTCATTCTCTCTCACATACAAAAGAATAGGAAGACATGCTTGGAGGTAAAATTCAGAAAAAGACACTTAATTCCCTGCAAAGCAGAAGCATAGGAGTGGGGCTTTAATTTACACCCTGTGCATAGTGCTGATATATAATACTTTCAGAACAATAGAAATGAATTTTATGCTAAACTTTTAGAATTAGAATAAAAGCTTTAAAAGACAATATACAAGAATCTTCAAAGCTTTAGGATATGAAGGAACTCCTCTAAAAAGGAAAAACTATTATATTAAAAGGTTAACAAATCTAAAACTAAGGCTATCTATTTGCCAAGAGATGGCATAAAGAAGACAAGTTACAAGCTGGGAGAAAAGACCTGGAGCACACATAAGTAACAAAAACTACCTGAAAAATATTTAAAGACTATTAAGTAAAAGAAAAACAACATAAAAATGAGGAAATGACTAGAATAAGCACTTTATCAAGAAAGAAAAGTTGGGCTAGGGAGATAGCACAGCAGCCTAAGTGCCTTCCTGGCAAGCATAAGGGTTCAGTCCCCAGGATCACATGCCGTCTTGGCTCCAGTACCCTGGGCGCGCTGAGCTGGCTCCAAAACCAGGCATAGTGGCGTAGGCCTGTCATCCCAGCACTGGGAAGGCTGAGACAGGAGGATCACTACTAGTCCAAACTGCATAGTGAGACCCTGTACCAAATACATAAAAGATTTTTTTAAAAAAGGAAAGAGAAGTTAAATGTTTAGGCAAGAGATCTATTACAGGACATATAATGACTTTTTCTTTGTATGCCATAATCTTTTGTGTGTGGACATATTTAATGAAGCCATTTTTAACATGTTGTTGGGTTGAAAGAAAGAAAGAAGAGAGGAGATGGAAAGAGAGGGGAGAGGAGAGAGGGAGGGAGAAGGAGAAAAAGACTGCTGGTCTCTTTAAAGCTGGTACCTTTAACATCCGGTCGAATGTAAGACAGCAAATTGAGTTTCCCTGGATTCTCAAGCAGTGTCAAGGCTGCTGCCTCTAGTCCCAGCTGCTTTGCTCTTTGGGCTTTTGTGCCTTTACTCCCAGTTTTATATGGTGCAGACTAGGCAGGAAAGATAAAAAACATGACACAGGATTTGGTTTTTAAAAGAAAACATTAAAGCTAGCATGAAAAACTAGAAGCCATACCGAAAATGCTGTAGATATCCTTTCTTCAACCCTTGCCTCTTCCTTCAGAAATGAACTCATACTAACGAGCCAACACTTGCTGCGTGAGGGTGGTATGTGCTTTATCTTACTCTTCAGACTTTCCTTTGTGTTTAGTTACTTGTTTGGTTTTACTTAACTAAAAAACTCACTGCCTGGACTGAAGGCTGTCTGCTCCCCTCCTGCCAGCTCCTCTAAAAGCTGTCAGTACACAGTGACTCTGCTTCTTAATCCACATCTACTCTCCCACCCACCACCATCTGGCATCTTTGCCCATGTAAGTTGCTCAGCATGGTAACACAAAGAACCTCAATGATCTCTCAATTACAAAATACACCTGTTTGGGCCTATTTTGCCAAACTTTCCTGCTATATCTAACCTCCTTCTAAAACCCTGTTCCCTACTGTTCCATGTACCATTGCTTCTGGACTCTCCTCCTATATCTCTGATCATTTTTTGTTTATCTTCTTAGGTTTTCCTCTCTTCATCCACCCTTCAAAAGCTGACACACACCCACATCCACAATCTCTCCTCAAATGAGTTCTTCATTCCTATAGCTTCCTATACAACCCTCCAATAATATCCATGGGGGAATGGTTCCAGCAACACCCTCCACAGTCCTATAAATACAAATGCACATATGTACAACTCCATTCCATAAAATAATAGTATCTGCATATAAGCTATCATATTCTTCTGTATACATTAAATCATCTCTAGATTACTTATAAATACCTAATACAATGCAAATATCATATAAATAGTTACACTTTTTGTCAAGAGAATAACAAAAAACTATAACGGTCAACAGAGACACAATTTTTTCAAATATTATTAACCTACATTTGGTTGACTATGCAAATATAGAACTTCCAAATAACTGCAGGATCAACTGTACTAACTATTGTATCAATTACCTATATGCTTGTCTCGAATTTAGTCCTCCATTAACCTGCACATTTGTATAACTCCTTGAAGGCAAGAACTATCTATTAAAAAGCTAAAGGCCTAACATTAAAAAAAAAACTGGGTAAAAGATAAATATTTTGGTGAATTAAATGATGGATAATAACTTCAGCCTTTAATGTCTTAAACTATAAAAAGATCCAAGTCATAATATATTCAGGCACTAAAGAATAAAGTTCCTTACCACATGTTCTAGTTCTTCAAAACTTCTGCAGTTCAGCAAGGCTTTTAACAAACACTCAGACATCTTTCCCTCCTTCTTAATCTTCTGAATTGTACTATGAACCTTCTTTGCAACTGCCCTGAAAATAAAAAATTTCGTGACATGTAAGACCTGTATAGCAAAACTTTCTTTTCAAGGCTTCTTCAAATTTATTGAAAACTTCAGGTAAAGTAAAAAGAATCCTCTTCTTTCTAAATCATTTGAGGACCAGCCAGATAGCTCAGCAGATTAAAGCACCTGCTTTGGCAGATGTAGAGACAGGGGCTTGATCCCAGGGTGCAGTGCCAGCCCTGCCCCTGGGGCACGAAGAAACAGCAATGGAGACTGGGTGTGGTGGCACACAACTGTAATCCCAGCACTTGGGAGGCTGAAAACAGGAGAATCACTATGAGTCCGATCTGTGTAGTGAGACCCTGTAGACTCTGTACTAAATACATTTAAAAAAGAAAACCAAATCATTGAAAATAACAGCATCCCCAAATATATGAGTATACATTCCCTATAGACCACATTCTCCTACAAAATCATAATACAACCATCAGTCATAGGTTATTATCAATACAAAGTTATGCTATTAATATCACCTAATTATTAATTAGATAATCCACTATTATCATCCAGCCTCAGAATTGTTACCTTATTCAAGTTTCACCAACTGTGCCAATAATGTCCTTTGCAGTATAGGGTTCCCTTTGAAATCAGGTGTTACATGTACCAGTCATGTGTATAGCTTCTTTAAGGTCAAACAGTACGTCAGTCTCTTTGATTTTTAAGGCCTTTACACTACAAGAAAGTTATTTTGAGAGTTCTTCTGATCTTTCCTGACAATTAAATTCGTGTGGTGCCACTCTGCAGAAACATCATCAAAGTGACACTTGTTCTTCTACATCTCACCAGATGGCAAATGATTCTGACTTGTCCCTATGCTAATCAACTTTTGACTCTTGACTAAGGTGGTGTCTTGTGGGTTTCTCCATCATACTGGCATTGTTTATTTCCTTTTGGTAAGTATTTTGTGGAGAAGTATTTTGGGATTATGTAATTATACTGTTCCTGATTAAGCTTTATGCACTTGCTTATTTAGGTATCATTATGGACTCATGGCTTCTTCATGTAGTGGTCATACTCCATTTCTACGCCTTCAATGCTAATTCTGCCCCATATTTGGTCAGGAGAAACATCCTTCTGTTTGTGCCCATCATCTTCTGGGCACTTTTCATTCTCTGCTACAAGATATTCCCAACTGCAATTGTCCTCGCACCAGCCCTGGAATTAGGATAATGGCACTTAGAAACCAAGTTACTAGCAATGCTTGCTGCCTGCTATTGAGTATCCCTGCTTGGACTGCTCACACGTGGCACCTACAACTGTTTTTTTTCCTTTTTTTTTTTTTTGGGGGGGGTGTCTCTTTTAGACAGGGCTCACTATGCAGATCAGGCTGGCCGTGAGTGTGCAGAGATCCTCCTGCCTCTACCTCCTGCATGCTAGGATTATAGGCACGCACCTTCCCACCAACCCAGCTCACAACTGTTTGCTACATACCATTCTCCACTAAAAAGAACCAGGACCCCATGTAAAATAACTTATTCATTACATGGAACAATGTACAGAAATCAATATACAAATAGGGGTAAGGGAAAGGGTGGACATAGTAGTACGCCCACTTACAATGGTTTTTCAACATGAATATTCAATTATACTTTATACTTTGTTTTGTTTCATTTCCTTTGCAGTAATGGGGATTGAACCCAGGGATTCACAGAGCTATGTAAGATGTCTTCTCACTCAGCTATATTCCCAACCCCCTCCTTTTTCTTTTAATTTTGAGATAAGATCTCATCAAAGCATCTAGGCTGTCCATAACCTTGAGATCTTCCTGTCTTAGCCTCCTATGTAACTTGGACTACAGGCACATAATACAACATCAAGCTGAATCTTACTGTTATACATTCTTTTTAATCTCGTTTTATTACCTGTTCCTATTAATAAGATATACCTAACAATGGTATTGTCAAAATGATAGGGAAGTTAGAGGTGATGTAAATTATTAAAAATAACTGATGGAAATTTAAATCTATCTATATTTTTTGAAACTAAAGGAAGAGGACCCAGCGAGATAGCACAGCAGACTAAAGTGCCTGCTTAGGGAAGCTTAGCAAGCACAGGGACTGCGGTCAAATCCTCAGCACCACAGTGTGCGCCAGCCCCACCCCCAGGGCAGGCTGAGCTGAGCCAGTCAGAGTCCAGGCGCAGTGGCTCATGCCTGTAATCCCAGCATTGGGGAGGCTGAAAGCAGGAGAATCATACAAGTCCGAGCTGCATAGTGAGACCCTGTAACAACTGAATACATTAAGAAAAAAAAAAAAAAAAAACTAAAGGCAGAAAATTATCAATTAAAGGAAAGAATGTGCAGAACACCAAGTTCTTAGATTACAACCTATATGCCTTTCATAGTTCTGGCAGCCCAAAACTGTTGCTAACTAATCGCTACCAGGGGCAATATGACAAAAGGACTATAGGTCCTGTTGGCCTTCTTTTAAGGAAGAAAAGCAGTAACTTTAGAGAAACGTTTCTTCCTACCCAGAATTTTTATTATCCGACTTCATAATGAGGTCATAATTCATATTATCTTGCTGCCAGGCTCTTTGAATCGCAAGTGTGCTTCAAACTGTTTGATTACCATCTGACTACACAACTTCTACCACCAGCAGTACAAGCCACCCAATGGACAGACGCATCTACCAGCACCAGTGGTTCAAGCCAACAGGACCACCTTCATTAACCTTCTAATGACAGGACATGCTAAGAAATATATTTCACTTTCCAGCCCAATTTATACAAACATATGTAATACTGAAACAATGTTTCATGAAGCAATATTTACTTTTAATATATAAACAACACTCTTAATGTTTTCTATCCACTTACTTCATTTATTAAAAAGTAGCATGACTTCTCATCTATCCTTTTTTTTTTTTTTTTTTGCAGAACCGGGGATTGAACTCAGACCTTTGCACTTGCCAGGGAAGCGCTTATTCTACTGAGCCATCTCCCCGACCTCATCTATCCTTAATGAACAAGTTGAGAAAAAAAAGCCCTAGTTAACAGAAAATTCTGAGCTTAAGAAAAAGTAGAGACCATATGTCATTACCAAAAATAAATGCCTATACTCTAGAAAAACATCTAAGAGCTAGGCAAAGCCCCCACTTACGTCAAGGAACCTTCCTTTACTAATATTCAACTATTCCTCTATTAATAGAAATCCAAGGTATGGAACTCTTTTACAGTAGGGCTTTTTATAGAAAATGAAAACAAATAATAATCTTGACATCAAGTTTCTACTTGCCTTCTTACAATGATTGTTAGAGTACTTTTTTCAGCAAATTATTCTTGTACATGACACATTCCTCAAACTCTGTCCATAATAAGTAAGCTTTAATGTAGAAAACTACTTCAGAATCTACAAACTGCTGGCCTTCCACATATACTCTACAGATGGCTTTTTTTTGTTTTGTTTTGACAGAACTGGGGATTGAACTCAGGTCCTTGTGCTTGCCAGGCAAGTGCTTATTCTACTGAGCCATCTCCCTGGCCCCCCCCCTTTTTTTTTTTGGCAATTTTTGTTTTGTTTTGTTTTGTTTTTGTTTTTGCATTATGGGGGAGATGGCTTCGTTTGATCCAGAAATTTTTATGTAAAACCCCAGATTCCCAACTTCTTTTCAGAAATAGCAAGCTCGGGTTTGGGTGCCTGCCTGGCAAGCATGAGGTCCTTCCTGGGTTAAATTCCTGGAATGAATGAACAAATGAACTAACGAAAGATGAGGAAGTTCTAGCAAACTGGGCAGACAAACAACCCTAATTGTCAGTGATCTGCTAGAGAAAAATGAAGGCTCTCCTTTTAGACAGGATTTACAATCTCCAGTTCTTATACCTTGATGCTGGAGCATACCCTAGAAGATTTGCATCTTTGATTAGCAAGTCATTTTTACTTTTCATTGGCTAATTGATTCTGTCTCTCCAAGAAAGACTAATTCACTACAAGAGTACATTATTCTCTTGGCATTAAAAGAACTTCAACAAAAAGGACAGAAAGGTTAGCATATACAGATTCCCCAAATATCACAGAAAATTTATCAGGATTACTGTGAAGATAATCCTTGGTACTTTTTGAATAGCTTCATGGAAGGGTGATATACAATTTTAATCAGATCCTTGTTGTATACATGAAGAATATACACATTAACAACTCAGTATCTGTAGGAGAGACGCACTAAACATCTAAAGGGTGAACAATGTTTCAACAAATGTTTCTGAGTAACAGTAACATGGTTGATCTTATGGTTTTTGTACTCAAATTTCTGAGTTACTATATGATGTCCAAAGGCATAATTTTTTAAAGATACTGTACTTTCATTCTATAACCATCTAAAACTTATAATTGACTAAGATTAAATTACTATTATCTTTAAAAGAATATAAAGGGAGACAAGCACTCCCTGCCACATGCCACAGAACACAGGCACTGTGGGGCGTGCGTTGCTACCCTTGTGATCACATAGCTGACTGAGAACAGAATCACAAGAGTGTCCAGCAGCATAAAACGCTAGCTTTGAAAACAATTAAAATTCAGTGTGCTCAAACTATGGCTTTTACTGAATGCTTACGGTGTGGCTATCATACAGTCAAGAAATTGTTAAGTCAACTGTAGGTTGGAAGCCATCTGGCACCTCTACAGAACTCTCCATTTAGGGATTGGGTAGAATTAAGAACACAGCTTTATAGAAGCTGTTGAAGACTTAGACCAAAATGTACTTTTCTCTGTTACCTGCTTACAATGCTAATTTTGCCATTGCACTCAATCATTTTTGAAAGAAGGCCAACAGTCAAGCGATGGGACACACACCGCCACCTTACAACTGCTACACACCCATGCTATGCATACACACACCAGGAGGGGGACTCTATATACTCCTATGTAAATCAGAACTGACTTTCTCAGTCACAAGAGGAATACTTTCAGATTACAGTAATTCAAGGAAATGAAACACTGGAACTGTCAACACATACAGCCACTCCTTTTGCCCCACTTCTCATTGGATCTCAAGGCCTCTAACTCCTAATATTAGGCTGCCCCCCCACCCCCGCTTTCTTACCTTAACTCATCTAGGGTCTGTCGAACTTCTCTCAAGGAATCAGCATCCAAGTTATTAATGAGCTCCTTTCTATAACGTACAATGAAGGGAATTGTGTTATCATCATTAAAGAGACGAATGATGTTGGCACAAACCCAAAGCTCAATATTAGTTCTCTCAGATAAAACCTGCAAACAACAAAAAAAAAAAAAGTAAGGATTTAAAACACTGAAAAGTAAGTTTCTAGCTTATGATGTATAGTTTCAAATACATATAATACTAGTGTTCTCCAATCACAAAAAAAAAAAAAAAAAAACCACTTCCTGTGGTTTCCAAAGGAGCAAACTACTATATGAATTACATATGTGTACTGATAATCATAATAGTAAAACAGTCGTTCCACTAATTCAATGAAATCTAGTCAAAACCACTGTATAATTCAAATTCCACAGTGCTCAATAAGAGTGCTTTTCACCTCAGGGGCAGTGAAGATGGAGGTGTGGGTAACTCACTACATCAGCATGTGTGCAAGAAAAAGACATTTTAATCACTACTAGTGAGAAGGTGCATAATGTAAAATCTAGAGGAAAAGCAACTTGGCAATACATATCAAAATATTATTTTTTAATTTCTGTATTTATATTTTTTCATTAACTACTGAAAATCAATAATTACATATATTAAAAATTATAGACAAATATTGAAATGTGAAAGATATAAGACATAGAAGAGTGACTTTTAGAGAAACACTTCTGAAATGAATACATCGCATGAGATTAATAGATTGCACACAGTAAATAAATTATTTACAAACTTAAATGAATATAACAATAAAAACTGTCCAAAAATAAAAATAAAGGAAATCACAGATCAGTCATATAATAGTTCACTGTGTCAAAATCAAGAAACTTATATTCATATAATTAGAATTCTCAAAGTAGAAAGGAGCAGGCAATAAATATTTAAAGATTTAAAATTTCTGAATTTAGTTCAACTTATAACACCACATTTCCAAGAAAAATTCACCTTTTGCACAAGAAATTTGAATAAAATCATACCAAGATACACAAAAATGAAATTGTCCAAAACTTACTGTAAATTAAAAAATCATTAAAAATATTAGCTATGGAAGAACAAAATTAAATAGTACCTTATTCCACATTAGAAAGAAAGAAAGAAAAAAAAAAAAAGACCAAGTGTGTAAGAAACTACACTAATGAAAGGACTAAAAGAAAAACAATTCTGTCCTCTCTGAATTTTATACTTAGCAAACATACCTTTGAAAACTAAAAGTAAAATATTTTCCACTTATACAACCTTGAAATATTCTAATACCTCCAGACGTAGCATAGAGGAAATAACAAAGCCTAATTCAAAAGGCAAGAGAAGTTGCAGTATGCTCCTGGATAAACAATAAAAAGCTCTCAAAAATGATAGTTATGTAGGACTATATAAAATATATGAAATGAACCCTTATTTAAAGTCATTAAAGATTTCTATGAAACAGTACCAATCTTATGTCGGGTTATACAT